CTACCCCAGTGGCACCTTCCAATCACATAATCATTAAAGCTATAAGAATGGGGTGACCACATTTCCAAAGATAAAAACCTGGACATATTATTATGCATAATGCATATATTTACTGTATTAATGTTACTTTCCAGGAGTTGTGGGGGCAAAAAAAACAGAGGGAAAAGAAGCACTGGAAGTTAATGTTTGGAAAGACTACTCTATAACAAAGCAGCCTTTAGTATTTCCTAACATTTGCTGTCCCTTACTGGGCTGTTACGAGGGGTGTGCACAATGTTTTCCCAATCAAACCAAAATAGTGGATAACCAACCTTCTCTGTCAGTGAAGAAATGGCAAATAGGACAGATCTTGTCTTCCATCTCCATCTCCCATTCCACCATGAGGTCCCCCCAACTTTGGTGAATAAAGGGAACGGAGGCACTATCAAGTGAGTCTAACTACCTGAGGCCACTTCTATGAAAATGGCTTCCCATGCTGCTTATTCTATCTCAAGTTGCAAATGCAGAAATAGTTTCCCAGTGCTGCTGCTCATTCAGGGCAAGCTCCTCTTGTTTTTGCTAGCCTCAGCGGGCTTCTGGAAACTGGACATTTTCCTGGTTTACAGGACTTAGGCTGACATCTCCACCTCCTGGCAAAGAGTGACTGACTCAAAGTCCTCAAGAGCTTCATGGTCAATAGGGCTTTGAACCTGAGTCTTCTTGAACCTGGTCTAAGACTTAACCATTAAATTACAGTATTCCTTGCTCTCAGCATTTTAGAAAGAAATTCAAAAGGCATCTTGAGTAATAACTTTACAGTTCTTTTGCTGTTTTCATATGCCTTCTATGAATAACTAATAATTTATTAGTTGTTGTAAACAAACATATGAAACAATTAGGCAATACTGATGTTCATTATCTTGGTATTGTTCATGGAAAGGCAAATAAATGTTATTTAATTGAATGAAATAATTGAGATTATTCCTCGAATGAGAGGCCTCATTTCCACTTCCAAGAACAAGTAGAGAATAGTTAGGCCCGTCTCTCCCCTCCAATCCTGCATTTCTCTTTCTAACTTTTATAAAAGGACTCAATCAGAATTCTTCCTATTCCATATCTGAACTCAAAAATTGTCATAAACAACTACAAAAATAGTCCTTTATTAATTGATAGCATGATTGACAAGGTAGTCATGAAATATCCCTTAGAGTCCTCTGTTCTGACAGCAGAAGTTTGAAGCCCTAGGAAAATGTTATTGCAAGGAATATGAAGGAATGTATACATATGAACTCCAAGGCTGACCTAAACATTACCCAGGTCTTGATATGACACAACAGGGCCACCTAAAGCAACTGGCAAAGTTGCCCTTGTGATACTTTTGTGTTTCTTCCCACAAAAGCCTCTCCCACATTATCCTTTTTCTGCAAAGCCACAACAGGTAAAATTTTGCCTAGGCTTTTATCGTGCAACTACAGGGCTGTTAGGAATGTGGCTTCAGCAACTAGCTAATTTTCTGATTAGCCAGACTCAGGACATTAAAATCCAAACACGAACACCCCAGAGCATAAAAAAATCACACCTGAAGATCCCCATGTAGGAAAAACGTACAAAGGAAAGAAGAGTTGAAGTCCTATCCTGGGCTTTGAATGATGACGTGGATGCACCACATCAGGAGAAGCTGAAAAAGCTAGGACACAAATGACATTTCCTTTTTCTTTTATTTGCATTTAAATTGAGATTAAATTTGTATGATCTTGATATAATTCCTCCTTATGTATTCAGTAATTTTACTTTGTAGCACAATATGTATTATATTATAATTCATACTGTAAGGTGTACATTGTAATAATTATAACCACCTTTGGAAGGTTTCAGGATATCTGGGGCCTGAAGTTGTTTATCTTTAATATAAAGCCATATATTTCCGAAACACATGGATCTCCAGAGAATAGGAGCACCTCTCTTTCCGGGACATGACTGACTGTATCTGATCACACCCTTTTCCTCCAACGTGTTTGACCTGACCTCTGATTTTTCACCGTGAAGATATACAGGCTGAGCAGCCACCGCTTCATCCATGTACAAGTGGGTTGGCACTGGGTGGTTTTTTTTTTTTTTACATTAAAGCTATTGAAACATATTGTTTGGATTTGGATTTCCTTTCCTCACACCTCTAATGCCAAATTTAAATTAGGGCATATAAACTTGTTCAAGGAAATGACATGTAAATTGCTACAGCCCTCTGATGGATGACAGCAGTATGCGTTTGTAAAATAAAAAGAAAACGTAAGGGTCTGTCAAATCCCAGGCAGGCTGGGTGCAAGAGGAGAGAATTAAGAAATTGCAACATTAAAAAAAGGAACCCTGTGTGTGTGTGTGTGTGTGTGTGTGTGAGAGAGAGAGAGTCAAGAAACTACAAGAGTGTTTCCACACTGTCATTACAATAACATGCATTATCTCTTTTTCCACTCCTGACAGCCGTTAGCTGAGGCAAATGTGCAGTTTATTCAGGAGTTATTTCTACTGATTTTCATAAACATGCCCTCAAGCTTGCATCTTCCTTCTCCTTTAAATAATCTGTGTCCCATTGATGGTTGTATTTCTATTTTTTATTACCTGAATGGTAGCCCTACTCTGTCACATTTTCTCTGTGCACCTCTTACTATAAAAAAGTTGCTGGGAACAGTTTTTCATTAGCGATAAACAGTTAATGGCTAGAACAGAGCCACTGCACAAAGACCATAATAAAGACACGCTTACTTATCAAAAGTTGTTGTGGAGGCATAATTGGTGAAGGATTCCCCGCAATGCTATCTTGAGCTGTCAAAGTCAGGACAGACACAAATTAATACATTCAATCCTGAAAACTGGTTGTGAAGTCTTTCTATAACCACTAGGTGGGTATCTATAATTCTTAACCAGGCCTCATCTACTATAATGGAGCAACATCAAAATACAATTTTCACAAACTCACAGCTACCATCAGCCACAGAAACGGATGTGTGTTTCAGTCTTCCAATCCAACCCACCAGGAGTTACATGTTTTGTTAGCAGTGTACATGGATATAAGCAAATCACTGCTCCTACGGCTTAGGGGCATCAACAAACCCCTCCCATGATTCTTCTAAAGCAGTTAATGCAACAATCAGGAATTCCAAGCCAATACTGAGAATCCATTAGGGCTGTGCTTGCTTCAAAAAGGATGGGAAGGAGTGTTTGAGACCTTGTGCAAACATATCACCTCTCTGCTATTCCATAATGCAACCTGGCTTTTTTCAGTATATTGCATACACTTGAATTTGAATGAATTTCTTAAAACATTGGCATCTTTTTTTTTTGCAGGCTTAAATGGAAGACTGGAAGAACAGTAGAAGCCCAAAGGAGGTCAGGCTATTTTAATGAAAAAACACAAAGATGTTGCCCCCTTGCAAATTGCAAAGCATTTCCTCTCAATCATTTTAAATGTGCCCAGCTCTGAAAGGCACGCTTTTAATGTCTGAGAAAAGGCCCTCCTTGTAACCATAAATGACAAGATTTCAACTAAGACAAATACCCAGAACAAAGTTGCGAAAAAACCTTCATATAGCTCACAATACAGTATTATATACAAGTATCTATTTTTATGCACAAGGTACAAGTGGAGACTTGTATCATCATTTATGGATACCTGTGTTTGATCTGCAAAATGTATTGAGCGGTTTTCAAATTGCACTAAAGGGAAGACCAAGAGTGAAGAGTATTTGATTATTACAGCAGCTCTGGGGCGGACATGGATTTAATAATATGCTATATGTACAAAACTTCAAGATGCATATCAAAATGACTGAAAAATAGTAAATCCCAAAAAGGCCAAGAGAGATAGGAGCAATTGGATCAATTATTCTGCATCAGGCCAGATCAAGAGTACAAACTTACTTTGTTTCTCAATTTCATTTGCTTTGTCCCTGAAAGGACCCAGTGACAATAATATGGTTTCCAGGCCTGGAAATTAAGTACATTAGTGGCTAATTGGGAGGACCACTTCATGTGCTAATAAACTAGCACTTAGCCATTTATGCACCAGAATGGTTACCTGGCAACAGTCCGAAAACATGTATGCCTATATGAAAGTGTCCTTCATCAAAAGTAACTCATTTCTAGCACATCATCCTTCAATATTTGCTTCCACAAATAAATTGTGGGTTTTATAAGATGTTTTGGGAGAAAGTGCATAAACTATGTCTGAAATATTTGCCAGAGTTAAGACAAAGAGGTAACTAGATTGGATACAAAGGATAGATGGTTGCCTAAGGGAAGGCAAGCAAAACAGCTGGCAGGTCTTTGATCTTCCATCTTCTCTCAATCTTCAAAGGACTGTTAGGAATGAAAATTATTTCGAGGGAAAAAAAAAACTTTTCTCCCTTGCTGTTAAAAGGACTAAGTTTTCTTCAGACAGCATACCTTCCTGCTGGCGATTAAGTTACTGGAAGCGCATGCAGCGTGCCCATTCTCTTCACACCTAAAAACAGACAACTTGGATACAACATATATAAAAGCTGGCACTTCCTTACTCTGTGTCTCTGACAGGTGAGTTCTCCTTAGACAGACACCTGCCTAACCTGAGAGATCTTAGGGCTGCGCAAATCCTGACAACTAGAGGTCAGTACAGAGATCCAGAAAACCCCAACTTGGTGCTTCCATTTAGTCACCGTTCCCTAAATGAAACACCAGACATCTCCTTCCAGCCTGAACTACGGGTGGTACCCTAATAGGACTGTGCTGCACTTTGGAATTTTTTTTGCAGAAAGATGCAGCCACTCTTTGAAGAAGCTGCCTCTTTTCCAGGGATCATATCACATCACATGGTTGCAGTGTTTAAACTGGAAAAAAAAAAAAGATTTTTGTACTCTCGCAGGTGTTTTCAGCTGATTTTAATTGCAACTATTTGCCTTTTTTTAAAAAAAGCATCTAGCTTTACGAAAAACTGTCTAGAACACAGAGTACAAGAAAAAAACACTGTATTATCTACTGTTATTTATTAGAGTTAGATACAGACAAAAAAAAAGCATTGCAAACAATTTAATTTTTACAATACATTTAATCTACAACATGGTCATATTTACATTTAATTTTAAAAGGAAACAGATATTGTTTTTTTATTCCTGAGTTTCTCAGCACCGTCTGAATTGGTAAATAAAAGGAATGGCATGCTATTTTTTCCAAGTCAATAGTCATATCTTATGAAGTCTTATTTTCACCAGAGAGATGGATTATTTCAGCAATTATTACATTTTTCGTTAACCATTTTTCATACTTTTTTTTTAAAAAAAGAAGCATATTCAGAATTACAGAAGGTCAAGTTTTGGATTCTAGATTTTTTTCACTGAAAGAGCCCCGTGTAGAAAAACAAATATGCAAAAAGAGCAGGGAATTTAGATAAAATTCAGCACACAGGCATGACAGGAAACAAGGAGATTGTGTATTTTGCGTGTAAAAAGTCCCTGTTTTAATTACTGGCAGTTTTATTAGATTTCAGGCAACACAGCTAGGAAGTATTACTAGGTTAGGCCCTTGGATTACCATTGCCAGTGACAACAGGAAGTACTGAACTAGAGAGTGTGACTCAATCGAAGTGTCATCTCCTCTGATTTTCAGTGTTTATGTATGGTTATAAACACACCAACACCCCCCTCTACACTCTCATTTCAACGTAAGAATGCTAAAGGAAACATTTTTATGCCTTTTGTCACTTGTCATATACTTCTCTTTAGAACTGATTAAATAAAACTGACCACCATGTTTTTCACTGAAATTAAGTATGTAAAGTCCTATTGTGGAAAAATAAAAATCTCTAGAATAAGATGTTCAATAGTTGTCTGGCAAATAGATTATAATGCTTCAGATCACCTCTGTACAAAGAGCTGGTTGAGGAACTTTGGTCCATCTCATACACAGGAACTCTTGACCATAAAGTTCCCACGTTCATAGGATCTACATTCTAAGCTGTGACTCTAAGAAACTGATGCTCCGTATGTGCATTATGAGTATTTTCTGATTTCGCATGAGCACACAACACAGAAGATTGGTGTCTTTTTTGAATGGAAATTAAAAAAAACAACACAGTACCAGAAATTATGAACACATAGGAAACCTATAAACTACAGGAAATCTTGTGCATCTGGAAGAAGAGAAGGGACTGCAGAATTGTTCCCAGAGATGGTCATGGGGCAGAATGAAATAGCCACACAGTCATACAATCTCATTTATAAAGGCACTAGCTTCCAAGCAAATATTCAAAATACAAGTAACAGTGGTTCTCAACCAGTGTGCATGGACTCAGTGTATGTTAACTAATTGAAACATACCATGAAAAATATCACAATAGAATGCCAGTAAACATATGAATATCCTTCTTTGGGAAAAAGAATGTTTTGTTTCTATTCTAATGAGACTCAGGTTCCTTCACAGAGGGACTGCTGCAATTTATGATATAAAAGGTTGAGCTCAACAGCCTCAAAATTCGTATTAAAACAGATCACATCTAGTTTATTTATAAAAGATTTGTACAATTATATACATATACATATATACACACATACATAAATAAAACACTGGCACTCTCTTTTCTTCACTCAGTTTTTAAGCAAACATACAATTGGAGTTATACTACCGTTTCTTTTGACTCAGGCAATTGCAGAGGCTTAAAGTTTAGAACTTCTTTATATGTGATACCTGGAAAAGTTAAAAAGACACAAAAAGAAAAAATCAGCAGCCTTAATGAGCCTGAGTGTCTGATTAAAACCTGTTGGGACAGGGGAAAAACCCCAAACCAAATAATTCCTGTAATGCAAAATTTTCAAAATACTGTCAGCAAAGAATTTTTTTTCCCTTCACAATAAGAACTTTTAAAATAATTACGATTACATTTATTCCATGCCATTTCTGCTTATAGAAGCATTCACAGCAGTTTACATTTCTCTTTGCTGTTCATTCCTTTCTTGCCTACTTATATACACTCAAGATTATTGTCGGACCCAGCCTAGGAAAGACTTCCAAGACCTCGGGAAGTCAACTGGAAGAGAAGGAATAAAATAGGTCAAAGAGAGAGAATGGAATAGCAAGGAGAAAGAAACATTTCTACATGTCTAGTTTAATGCACCAGATTCCTAGGTTCTCCTAAATTATATTTTAATTAAAATGTATAAACATCTATTTTCAGAATGTAGACAAGGTTTCCTACACCAATCTAGCCTTTGTATGAAGACTGCCTTTCAGAACAATCATACCAAACATACATTTCCATTGATCCAGGGGCAGATCCATGTTGTCAAAAGTGTCGTCATATTTCTCTGCTTCGTTTTCCTCTTCAGGATCATGAATGGTTTCAAAATAAGGGTGTGCCAAAGCTTCACTTGCTGCTATTCTCTTCTCTGGATCTAACACCAGCATCTTTTCCAAAAGGTTTACAGCTGAATCAACAAGAGAAAGATGTTTAAGGACAAACACTCTGGAAACAGATCAAGCATGTGCTTAAATATTTTGTTGAAGTTCATTTAGATTCTGCATCTCCTAGTGATCATGTAGTTGTTCAGAGAACAGAAGCTCAAAGGATTACAATTTATAATAAAGTATATCTAGCAGGAAAAGCTTACCTTTACTAGCCAGGTAATCTGACCATTATGATGAAGAAATTATTGAGAAAATAATTCCACAATGAAATCTTCAGATGGCACAAAATATCTTGAAAGTTTTTTTTACGTAAGAGGATAGAAGAGATCTCAACCTGTTTACTATCCTAATATTATATAATTTCCTAATATATTACATCCCTCTATATTTAACTTACCTAAAGGATTTGCATTTTTCAAAATGGCAGCAAAATCTTTTTTCTGTACTTGTGGAAGGCTTTTGATATAATTTTTTGCCTTAAAATAGACAGACACAGAGATTACTGGATATGAATACGTTATTAATTCAGGAAATGAAACAGAGAAATAAATTAGATGCCATCAAACTAGTTCAACTCCTGGTGAATATATGGCAAAATGCACATGTGGGATATATTGACAAATTGCATATGACTTCATTTTGGATCTGAAGGCCCTAAATTAATTCATATGCAATTTGTATACTTTCTATAGTTTAAGATAATTTGATTTTGTTTTCTCAGAGCAAATAAGGAAGCAACTCTCACAAATGTGTAATAAAAACTATCTTGGAAATGTATATATGTAGAAACCCAATGTGTTATGCATGACTTCCACATAAAGTAATGCCATTTAAATTGCAATCAGCTCCTCTGCTATGTTCTGAGCTGGCTATAATAAATGGGTTAAAATTGGGCAGAAATGGTTGAACTTTAACCCCCACTGTCAAGCTTCTCTTGGCAAACAGGACTGGAAACAGATAAACTGCCTTTCAAGGATGTAAGAGTTTCTGATGTGACTTACTGCAGAAAAGCTAATAAGACCACTAAGGAAGGGCTGTGTATAGAATGCAAGTCCAATTCATAGTGAAATCAAGATTTACATTCTTGTCTCTTACTCCTGCCTGCGTGATGTCAGAGGCCTCTCTCTATTGGACAGGATAAACAGTTTCCGCCTATCTGTTTCTTTGATTTCAGGTCATTTTCTTGCAATCATGTGACAACTTGTTCTCACACCAAGCATACCTAACATGGAAAGCTGTCGTTCAACAGCATCTGAAGGATAAAAGGATCCTAATATCTGGTTTAAAGTTTTAAACAGGAATTGCTTGAATTATTTCTTTTTGAAAATTAGGACCACGCAAAATTTCATATCATGTATAGCTTTTAAGATAGCAATCTGCTTCTATTAATGGGATATTGATGACCGTGAGCATTTCAGTGTATCAAAAAAACCCAACTGAAAAGGTTTCTAATAGTTTCTAGCCAGATTTCCTTGGTTTGCTGCTTTCTATGCTGGGTTAAAAAAAATCTCAAAATTGAACTAGTACATGTAAGGAAAGTAGCACAGAACCACATAGTATTTCTGAACCTGCTCTTATAAATTAGGCAAAAGCACAACTTACATCTTGGCTTTGTAGTTTCTGAACAAAATCCTGAGTTGGTGTGCCTGTAACTTTCATAATTTCTGTGAGCTGGTCCAGATCTGAATGTCAAAGTCAGGAATCAAATCTTCAGTCAGCATGTCATTAAAATATGATACAATTGATCTGATTTTCTTACTGTTGAAATCAAAGCATATAACACACATAGTTCATATATTTTTTCACAACTACTGGCAGTTGGCTAGGAATTAATAACTAAAAGGATACTTCTACAAATATTCATTGATGGGTCATCTTCATTTTTGTTTTCTACCACACTTTTAGTCATCTCATTGAGTGTTTTCAGAGTAACAATTTGTACAAGCTTTCATACCTATATTAAAACTTCAGATTTTTTTCTTAAGCTAGCTTCAATGACCTCATCTTCCAAATTTCTGAGGATAGAAAGCTGTGCTCGTTTTTAAACATTACTGATTTTTCATAACACTTCTTGAGTCTCTAAAAAGGCCCACAACAGTGAAAAAAAGAAATAAAGAAACTCAAAAGCTTAGCTGCATCAACGCATATAAAATAAACTAAAATGCAGTCCTATATGCCAAAAGTAGGAGCCAAAAATGTGACTGTTTGCACTTAATTATGAGAAGCAGCTGTGACAAACCATTAATTTTGCAATTTTCTGGCAAAGCTACAGACTTCCAAAGCTGGCTTGATGTTTCTAAGTAAATAGCTCAACTGATCATTTTTCACTTGAAGTGATTATGAACTGACTTACTTTGATACCTGAATTCTGGCATATTTCTCCAACTTAATGCGAGGCATTTCATCAAGAAAGGATACGATCATTGCCCTTGAAAAGGGGCCTTCCTGTTACCATTTCAGCCATTATACACCCCACTGACCAAATGTCCACTGAAATACAGAAACACGCCCATTAAATTGCTTGTGCAAAATATCTAAATTCAGCTCATCAATCGACAACAAAGTCTTTAAAAAGAAAGCCACAACACAAAAGTCAATGTTTTGTGTTTTGTAACTGAAAACGTGTGTTCTATTTCTGCAATTTCAATAGCTCAATGAATGCTTTTTATAACACTGATGGTCTGGGCTACAGGAATCTTCTTTCCTTCCAACTCTTTGCAGATTTTGTTCAAACCTCTGCAATTTTGTTCAATGTCTCTGCAACAAGCACAACAGAGACTTTTTCAGTTGGTCTACCAAGAGATCACAGGGTGGTTTTTGTAAAGATGTCACTCTTTTGCAACTGAAGTGATGAAATTATATAATCAGTGGTTACAAAAACCTCAGTGTGGAAAACTAGTTTTCTAGTAAACAAAAAAAATTACCTGTTTGTGTATAATGCATCCAATTAAGTATAACTTCTGGGGCTCGATACCACCTAGTAACCACATAGCCTGTCATCTCACTATCTGTGTGTCTTGCCAGCCCAAAATCTAGAATCTGTTTTAGAGGAACAGAATACAATCAGCTTACATTTCTGGAATTGTCATAAACACTTTGAATTGGAATGAGATTTATTCATAGTTAGAAAAGTTCTATTAATATCTGCATGATTCTTAAATCCCATTAATTTAATGCCCTGTTCCCAAAAATGTAAACCTCAATCTATTCCCTTGAAAATAAAGTTAAAGGAGATGGCTAACAGGCTATATTACATTTCTGTCATCACTGCTAAAATATTTTTATTTCTGTATCCACATATTTTCTCATTACCTCCATCCAACTTACAACATTACCCAAATAACTGCTTGCAATGAAATGATACCCTTATTTTAGAGAAATGCAAATGGCTATTTGGATTTTGTAGCCTTGTGTATACTAAATAGCATTTTTGCAAATAAAAGACAAGAATCTCAAACACCTATTCATTACATGCTATTTATTCAAACATTACAAACATGAGCTCTATATATTACATTTTTTCCTGACAGTAGTAAGTGGAAATCCCAGTTCACAGGAATTATTTTTTTACATTATATAATCATACAGGTAGCAAACTGAAACCACATGAATTTGGCTTATTATTCATATATTCACAGCTACTGAGAAAGCTTTGAACTCACTTTAGGCCATGGCAATGCAGCTGGCAGAAATAGATTTTATTCCCCCATTATCAGCCTCTCCAAAATGCAACGCAAAGGTTCAGAGACCCTTGCCCTCAGGTGTTACGCAGGGTTCAGGGCTATTATCCCCAAAGGTGATGGAAATAGTATTTGAAAATCAATCTCACTGCTCATAATTGCACATTCCAAAATGTGGATCCAACTCAATGCAATTTTTTAAATTAAACTTTTATGATTTCAAAAATGAAGAAAAATGAAATAAAGCGCTTAATTGCTTTCTTCTATTAATGTTGCAGTTTAACTGCTGGCAGGTAAGAAACTCTCTGTGCTTTCAGGGGATTTTGCTACAGCATTTCCATGAAAATATTTTATATCTAACCCTCTCTTTCCTTCCTCTTTTTCTGTTGGAATATTTCTAAAAATAGTGTGGCTGTTTAAGCACAGACATCATGCTCTAACAAAAACTTAGGCAATTTATGTTGAGTTAATGTGCTGTCCTAGGGAATAATGCTTGTTGGAAAGACTGTCTGTTTTGCTATGAGTTTGCACAAGTCCTGAACTCAATAACCAGCTATGGTCGTAACATGCACCCAAACTGAAGGTCACACCAAACTGCTTGTAGCTTCAGCCAATCTATACTAACAATATTAACTCAAAACTAATTTAATTGCTGAGGCTGTTTACATGAACTCCATCAATGGAATCTTTATTAAGGGTGCTCAAGTTTCTAAACTAAAGCCTTACTAAGTGAAAAGCCCTAGATCGTCTACTCAGGATTTTATTCCTGCTACCCTAATCCAGGAGTGCATGCTATGTCTACAGCTTGTATCTTATTTTACACAGCTTAATGCAAATACTTTTTGCAAAAGACAAGAATTTGGTTCTGCTTTCTTCTTACAAGCAATGGGATGAAATCCAATAATTATGTATGAAAACAGTCAAGCTTAAGCTTCTGTAACATGCTAGCAACTTAATCTATAAGCAATCATCCCTACATATTTGCAATGTTGCAGAGTGTACCCTTAGCCAGGAAATCTGGAGTTATTCCAGGCATGCAGACATTAACATTCTATTATTTCACACAATAGTGCTACAGACTGCAACCTGTTCTCATTTTTAAATGCTTTTCATTTGTTCTCTTTGTACTTCCAAATTCCCCAACATTTACTTCTGAAAATTCCCACAAAGTTCCATACAGTGTTTGTTTGTTTGTTTGAAATACTGTATGTGAAAAGGCAACTACAGTATTCATTTTCTTACCTTCAACTCACAGTCTTCATTGACTGCTAGGTTTCCAGGTTTTAAATCCTATGAAGATGTTTAAAACAAGAAATCTGAAACTAAATTCATCTATAACTGGAAGTGTTTCTTTCAATGGCAGGCAATTTTTTGGTTGTTCAGAACAGGTCCAAACAATGGCCCAGAATGCAAATGGACTGGCCTGTTGCCAAATATGAATGCAGAGACTGACGCTTGGGGGATCAGAAACTTCCCTGGTAGCGACTGAACAATTACAGAAGCCGAGGTAGCAAGCAACTGCATTAAAAAAAATTCCAAAGCCAAACATCTGTGTGCATGTATATCAGTACATTATAACATTTCCACTGAGCAAACTGAAAATATCACACGCATGCAAACATCCTGATCTCTTTTTAATCAATTACAAAAGAAGACTCTGCTATTCACAGCATTCATACTGAATTGGCAATAGCTATTGTAATAATTCCTGAAGGATACAGTTTAATTTGCATTTAAGCTGTGACATTGCAAACAGTACATCAAAGAACCCAAGGAATAATTTATCAAGTGTTCGTTAAAATAAGCAAAGACTTTTTCAAAGATGCCTTCTGAGTATCAATAATTGAATCTGGGCAATAAAAGAGTTATCTTTCGTTCTATATTTCAGTATAAAAATTCTGAGTATATATTTCTGTGCAGAAATCAACTGACCATTAGGGAGCTTTGTAGCCATGGATATGTGTTTGAAGTGAATCTCTCCTCTGGTTAGCTTCCATAAGAAGAATACCTAAAGCTATTCAAACAAAAAAGTCTGACGTGTTTTACTTACCCTATGAATTATGCCAGATGAATGGATGTACTGTGGAAAGAAACAAAAATACTTTACCCATTTGCTATCGAAACATTCTTTTTGTTCCAAAGGTTTGCAAGGCAATGGCAAAAATAATCCACAGCGAATCACTATGGTGCAAATACTCATCCCATCCTGATCTGACTTTCTTTTTAGTTTTAAAAAAGGCATTCTGCTAAGCAAAACACCAGGTTGTAGCTTTGCCTAGTATTTATAGGTATGCCTCTGGGCCCCACAAAAGCTCTGTAGTTCTTAGGAATCAAAATGCTGGGTATCTTCAATGCTATGCTTTGCAAGTTTGTCCAACTGTTAACAGATAAAGGTAATCTGGGGCAGTAATGAGCATCTTGCAGGATTAGAGAGTGTGACACAGAACAGCTCATCATAAATGCCTTCTCATAAATGGCTACTTTGTGACCTGGATGCCCCCACTATAACATCCCTTAGATTTCACATAGAGCAGCCATTTTGCCAGAGTGTCCACCAGAAGCTTTCAAAATTAAAATTTGTCTTTCAACTCAAAAAGACCCCTACCTCCTCTACTCTGGACAAGACAGCTGCGTTTTATGGAAATTACAATCCAACCGACCTAGAAGCTGATCTTAGTTTAAGTTGTCAGAAACCAGAAATCTAGACGGAGAAACATAAGTAAGTCACCTTTCCACAGTAGAATGGAAAACTCAGAAGTCTTCTATCAAACCAGACACTGCTAACTGTAAGAGCTGCTGCATTATCTCTTTGTTACAGACCAAGACTTCACTTTATCTACACATATAGGAAACCACAGTCTTACAAACTATAGCTCAAAGACCAATTGTTTGTCCTTCTTCCCTGAAAGCACTAAACATCCAGATAAAATGAATCTGCAAAACAGAGCTGGGATGGCTCTTTTCTGCACCATCGCTCTTCTTGGATTCTATTTCTGTCCTTGTTTTATTTCAACACATGATATGGAGTTACCATCACTGTGGCAGAACATTCAGCCAGTTTAATCTTAGCCTTTCACTTCTTTCTACTACAGTACTTAGGGAGAAAGAAGAAACATCTGAAACTTTAGCATGGGCACTTACGTTTGCACAACATATCCACAGTATATTTTGTGTAGGAGAAATGAATTACTAGTCCTAGAGTAGGAAAGGATTGTCATGGAAATATTCTTAGATAAGCAAAGCTTTCTAACAAGCTAACAACAAACAGGGAAAAACAAAGATTCCTGCTGGTGATTCTGTGATGTAGTATCAATGTGATGGGCTAGGACTGGAAGGCACAGGTTCAAGTCCCACCCTCAATCATGAAAGCTCACAGGGTAATCTGGGGTCAGTCACTGTCTTGCAGTTCAACGTATCTCACAGGGTGGTTGTTGTAGGAGGAGGAATGCTCTGTATCCACATCCTCAAACTTGTAGAAGAAAGGCAGATCAATCAAATAAATACACAGAACCATTCTTAATCCCAATGACTATACTGCAATATCACACATTGTCCCATTTCTTTTCTTTTTCGGAAAGATAGAGCTTTCATTTCTTGTTAATAGGCAATTTAAACAAACATGAAAGACAGCCAGTTGTTGTTTCCCAGCAAACACCAGGTACAATATTTCTGCCTTTCCAGTTCTCCCTGCATGTGGCTCAGATTGCACGTTGCAACGGAGATGGCTTTCTGGCTTAAAGGACCAGAGCACTACATGAGATCGGAGGTAATCAAGGGCCACTGTTGCCAGGACAGGAAGTTTTCCTTGTTTGGTTAAATTCAGCAGTGCCAAGAGCTAAACCTGACTGCAAGATAAATTAACTTCCTTCCTTCCTCCCTCCCTCCCTCCCCCCCCCCCCCCCAAGGTTTCCAGGGAATCAGAGAGTTGCACTCTCTGGCACTGCAAAGGGAGGAATATGAAATGTGAAGGGCTGAAATGTTATATTATTTAATAGTGACATTTGGCATCCATATTCAAATCCTATTTCTGCACATGTATGCCCTTTGTCTTCCTTTTTCCAAACTATTATGTATAAGGAAGCTCTGCTCATCTAGGGAAGGATGCAATTGTTAGAGAAAAGTTCTGGATTTTAGCTAATAAATTAAAATCAACAGTGATTTTATTTGATTCCTTTTGAGGAGTATACGGTTACATGGCAGCAAGAGCAAAGAGCAAATCTTCTTAGAAAGACCTTGTCTCTTTTGCTATAAAGTCAAAACTTGATAAGAATATGCTTTTATGAGATAGACAGACAGACAGATTTTATAGTCTGGTCTGGTTCCAGTTGAGTGGAAAGAAGAAAAGGACTAAAGCAAATCCTGTGTTCTTTCTCCCAAAAGGCTGACTGGTGCAAACAGAAATTATTTGGGAATGCGTCTGCAGAGTCCTGGGTACCACCAGATCAGGGTGGAGAATCCATATTCCTGCTTTACCTGCTACTGCCTTACCACAAAAGTCTGCATTCTTATGTATGCACTCCTTAACTGGGCTGGAATAACTATAAGATTTTAAAAGGTTTTTTAAAAAATTTTTTTTCAATGTTTCAATTAAAAGCTGGCACAAAGATGTTCATATTCACACTTCTCAAAAGTCACACAGAGAGTTGATGTGCCTGAATACAAATAAGGGCAGATTTAACTCAATGGCTGTTGGGTTGGATTGTTAAACTTTGATAACACAGGCAGTGAGACTAGACACAAAGAGGTAAACAGGCAAGGAAATCACAGTCCAGAGTGAAAGGAGGGATAATTTACCATTAGGCCCAAACCTAGAAGAGTAACTGATTGCTCCCAAATAATCCAGGATCTTCAAAACAATTTTACAACATGGTTTAAAGGTGGCTTGCCGATCTTGGATTTTTGAGGACCAATCAATTGTAACTCCAGCTTCAGACAAGTCAGAAAGCAGTTTATTTTTATTTATTTCTTTGCCAGGATTCCTCACTTTCTGCACGATAGGAATAAGGCTCATAAATAAATGGACTAAACTGAATCTTCACACTTATCTTCAAATTAATTAAACTTAGTATTGAGAAAGGAACTAGAAGGGCTTTGTGCAAATAATCAAAATTTATAAACCTAATAGGATTTAAAATCCAAATCCTAATGAGGAGGAGAAAGGTTCACCAATGAAGATGTAGCATGAGGCCATCAAAATTCCCTCACAGTCAGGATTTGCAAAACCAGATCCTGATTTCAAATTCTGTATGTCAATGAAGATGTAATTTTACATCATACTGAAGCACATCATGATCAGAAACCTGCATAAGCAGGTTCCATATCATAGGAATGTCTATATTGGGTCTCAGGAAAATGATGACAAAAAACCAACAAAAACAATGAAAACAGAGAGATCTAACCTTTAGGCCCTTTAACATCTGATAGACCAGGAACTGGATCCTATCTTCAGTTAGTTTCTCATGCTTCATTATTTTACTCAAGTCTGTTCCCATAAATGGCATAACAAGGTAGCTAAAATGAAAAGGCAAACATGAACAAAACTAAATTACAAAGTCTAATCATAATATTGTAGCAAATTATAATGTAGAGTCATTCCAGATTATGAAGATTTCTACTGGAAAATATGAGGGCAGTGTAGAAAAACTAAAGAATAAATCTAAATATTAACACTAAAATGGAATATAAGTGATGAAAAGGTCAATGTAAAAAGATGTGCCTTGATGCCTTTCCTAAAAATCTAGAGAATTGGTGGCAAAACATCTTTCTAAAAGAAGTGTATTACACAGGTTGAGAACAAGACAGAATTTATTCTGGATTATAAAATAACCATGTAAAATAAATGCGTCCTATTTTCCACCAAATGCACTATTCTGCAAGCCATTATGTTATATAAAGGCTTCCTGTTCTTTTCTTTTCTTACTGAACACCACAAACCATTTATGCTTTAGAATAAGAAATGTCAATTGATAATAACACTATCTACAGTAAGCACAGTTTTATATTAGGTAATAAGTAAAAACTGGGCCAAGCTAGAGGAGACAGGATGCAGAACCACTCCTTTGATCCCTCCATCATCTAGCTGCTTCAGCTGACATCCATTTATCAAGAAGGCACACTGGATCAAGATCAAGATGAGTGGAAGCTGGGGATGACTGAGCATCTCATACACATATACAGATAAATCAATCCTTTAAACCCACATTTCCAACATAAAATTATTACTAAAAAGGCAGACATGCTGGTGATGAATGCATACTACGTAAGAAGGAACAGAGAATCTAGCAATACAGTCTACAAATTCATTATGTGCAAAAAGGTAATTGTTTGACCCACATAACACAGAGGCCTGATTCATGCATGTGCTATCCCACAGTTTCTTATATAAACCACAATGCCTGGGATCATACAACATACAAACCAAAATGGAAGAAACTACATTATGATTTATTATAATGTATGAACCTCGTCTATGTCAGGATTTTGTTTTAACAACCCTTTATGGAACAAGCCAGACAAGCTGAACAGCAAATTAATCAAGGCCTGGTTTGTTTTCCTCCATTTCTTCAAACAATATATAGATTAGGGGGAGAATATCAAGACAAATCAGGAATAAACTATGATTTGTGGTTCAACCTTTTCAATATCAATAATTAAAACCAACCAGGCTTCATAAACCAACCACCATGGTTTCTTTCCTGTGGTGGGTTGCAGAGTATAATAAACTCCAAAACAAACAGACCACGTTATGATTTAATGTTTTCTATATACAAGGCCAATATCTGTATAAACCAGGGAGAGATTCCCGATCATGAGTGCCTGATTATGTGCCATCAACACCTTAAAGCAGGGCTAGTTCTTGGACTGGAGATCCACAGGACCCACAGGCAACACTAAACACTTCCTAGAGGAAGGCAATGTAAGCCGCTTCCATACTGCTACCAAGAAAGTCAATGGGAGGCCATCTTGATTCAAAGGCTTGCCACCTGCCTGTCAATATCAGAGGAGAGGCACATGTCCAGCCCAATGCTGATAAAAAGATCAAGATTGCTCCACTTGCTTTTATGAAGACTGCAATGGAAGTGACTTTGAGATTTCAAGACTTGGGGGCCTTGGAACAGGAGAGATAATGTGAGAAGTTCTGGCAGACGGAGGAGTATTATCCTGCTTGGCAGAAGTGACAAAATATCATTAATGCTTAAGTTGAAGTAAGTCCTACTAAATTAAATGGGAGGTACTTAACATTTTAAACGTGTCTAAGATCATCTTAGGCTGTTACAAAAATTCCAATCTGCACCCTATCAATTATTCTAAATTCAAAGGGGAACAGTGAAATTTACAGAAAACTGACCAAACACATAAAAAGGGGGTAGAAAAAGCAGATAATTTTCAGCTTCCAAGGGCTATATTTAGTGCAAAGGAAAGAGCAGAGATTTCTGATAAAAAACCAGGATAAGCAAGGAACCAGGCCTGGAGTGCTAGCAAATGTTGAATAATGAAAACATTGATGTGTGCTTTCCTCCATGATTTTATTATGGCTAATGTGCCACAGTTTATGAATATTGCAAAGCTGACTGAACAGCTCACAAGCTATTGCAATAATATATAAGTAGTTAATGATTAAAAACAGTTGAAGCAACATCGTTACTGCAGCCTGTTTATATGAATACATTTATGGTAGATTATGGTAGATATTACTGTATACACATGTAATAAGAAAATGCAGAACAGGTTTAAAAGCTGACAAATCCATGCAAAATTCAATACTAATTTAAAGCAGAGGAAAAAAAATAAACTGTATTTATGGAAACAATTAATTGTACAAACCCAAATAACTAATAAAAGTTTCACCGAATTCCCCAGCTACATGGGGAGGGAAAAATAGCAAATTTCTATTTTTTAGAGGTAGCTTAAACTTTCCCAGTGTTGCACACTACAGCATCTATCACCCTCAGCCATTTGATATGTTGATTGAGTATGGCAGAAACTATGGATCAACACCTCATTTTGACAACTAGGAAAAAGCTGCTTTACATTTAAGGTGGTTAATCCAATCCACTTTTTAATAAGCAACCAGATCTCCCAATACCTAATCATTATAAATACCAATTCTTTTTTTTCAAGCGTTTGAATCAAATGTTTAAATAGTCTAATAATAAAACAAAAAGTGGGGCATAAACCTAACAAATGAATAAATGAATTACCTTTAAAATAAGACATATGTTATTTTAAACAATTGTATCAGCAATATTATCAGCATTGGAAAACAAAATGAGCATCAATGTGCAAGTTTACATTTTATTTGGTAGATATATGGTCTAAAAGTCCTCAAGTTATATTTGGTAAAACCTTAACCATTAAAAGAAGTAAAACCTTTCAGGAGTTTAATTTTCCACTTAATGCTGTAAAGAGGTAACATCTGTTTCTAAGATCATAGGGTGCATGTCATAGTTGGTTGGGATGTCAATTTTATTCTATATATAGGTGTGTGATTCTTCCAGCATAATGACAAGGCTCACCAACATATATATTAATGCATCCTAATAAAAAGAACCAGATTCCAAACTGTTCCAGTTAACTCCAGAGCAAGCTTAACCAAGAAGGAACAATAATTCCATCAATATAAATACTGAAGCAATTGAGATCAGCATCTATTTTAGTGCAAATCATAACATGCAATCCAAAATTTTCCACAAAATTATGCACTCACAAGTCATTAAATTTATCCAGTGAAGGATCTGGTGTGAAGACATCTAGAAGCCCAATTACCTACAGAAGAAGGGGAAACACAAATAAGAAAATAATAATAATAATACTGTCATTGCAATTATTCACATGTGAAATGTTAATTAGTGACTTCAGGACTTGTTTTGCTATAGAGGAATGGTGTTACCATTAGTATGGTATATATTGCATGTATCTCATGTGTATCGTTGAATCTGAGCAACTGAGAGCAAAATGCAGAACTGAGGTTTCCCATCTCTACCTCTGCAGCACCCCCAAAACCTCTCCCAAGGTTACAAAAGCTCCACATGAAGAAGAATGTCAATGGAGATGATGTTTCTTTCTGCGTAGCTTTGTGGGAATGTCCCCTTAGATCAGGAAAGAAAACCATTGACCTGCAACTCCACTTCTGCATCTTCAGAGATTCCTCTACAGTAATTGTACCTGCTGCAAAGTGACAGCAGGGCCTCCTGCCATTTTGAGGTAGGCAACAGAAGAAAAGAATCCTAAAGTAGATTTATCACAATTAAAAAATAAGGACCCGCACTATATTGCCCCTTGCTAACTCTTGTCTGCTTGGAAGATGTAAAGCTCTTTGCAGACTTCATTCCTCCAGAATTATTAAGTATGGTCCTTGGCCACTAAAGGTTTGTACCCGTTTTTGATTTGGTTTACCAACAGAGCATACATGGATACCCCTTCCCCAAATATTTAACAAATGGATAAAATATTGCAAGCCTGCAAAATCTTACACATTCTCATGAAAATTCATGATCCCACAAGAGTTCATGTGAGACATGACAAAGGCAGGAGCCAAAAAAAGGTTGCTGACCTTGATTTAGTACATCCCATCAAGAACACCATGGCCAAGTTAACTTGCAGGAAAATACAAAACCTGCCTGATTCTTACCTGCTAATTTACTTGCTTGGCAGACAATAGTTAGAAGAAGAGTAATGATGAAAAAGAGTAGCTAATGGATTCAAAATATATTCTATTTGCTCCTTACTAAAATGCAATGCTAAATCAAAAACTCTGGAGTAGAAACTGTAACAAAACAATTGAATATTATAAATATTCAGTTCCACTCAAGTTATGGCTTGAGTGAAACTGAATATTTATAACTAGCAAAAAGACAGTATTATTTTCCTCAGCCCCTGATTCACAACCCCATACAATACTGATAATAACTAGACAAAACAGATGTTTAATTGGACAGAAGCTTAACAGTCCTGTCAAAAACACAGAAGAATCAATGTGTATAACAAAAACCTTTGGTCTCTATAGCCTAAAAAAATCTGACAAGGAGAACAGGCATTCTGCATGATATACTCCTGAACGCTAGCCTAGCTGTGTTCAGACATGATGGCAGACTATCTATTTATTTATTGTCTGAACACAGCTAGGCTAGTGTTCAGGAGTATATCATGCAGAATGCAGAAGGTTTTTGTTATACACGTTGATTCTTCTGTGTTTTTGACAGGACTGTTACGTTTCTGTCCAATTAAACATCTGTTATTCTAATTTCTATTGTTTCTTAATGCTGTAATTGCAAATCACAAAAATAATTCAATTAAGTCTTTACCGATATATTCAAAATCAGTTAGAATTAAAAAGAAAAATGTCAACAAAATTTCTAAAAATGTGTTTAAAGCCACAGGCCCTATAGAATTCCAGGCATTTAGAACAGCAATACCACAGAAACAGAAATACACAGCAATACCATTCAGCCAAAGGCCTCGGTGAACAGCAGATCAAACTGACACCAGTTGTTCATTAGACTTGACAACGCTTCTAAGTTAACTATGAAGGATTTTTTTTTCATTTGGCATTGTGTAATATTAAGCTATATATTAAACTATGGTTAGCATTTTCACCTATCTGCTCCCCTCCTTTTTTATCAGAGCTATGGGATTAGTTAAAACTGGAATTGAAAAAAGATATTAAACAGACTTTGAAGACTGGATCTTAAACTGTTACTCGTTTAACCAATTCAGACTGGCTTATTTCAGTAAATAATGTTCAATAAACTTTTGTGGATTGAGTAGTCCCTTTATGAGTGTGTCTTAAGGCTGAAGGAGGTTAAGGCTAGAGGAACAGCTTTTGGAAGACAGGAAACACAAAAAATTGTGTTAGCCTAAATAGGTGATTTTGCTGATGACTTTTAGCACATGATTTGAGGTTGTTCTGGTTAAGCTTAGATTATCCCAGGTTTGGGCCCAGAGTTAATGGCAAACTGCAGGTGAATGAAAATGGAGGTGGATGCTTCCAATCTCATGGCCACGCTGGGACAAAAGGAAGCTTGTTTGTTTTATGAGGTGCTAAGCTAAAGTTGTCAAACAAGGTTGTCCATACCAGGTTTCATACCATACCAGGTTTCTCATGATCTGTAACTAATATAGCTGATAAGGCAGTGGAGGAATGAAAAGAGTTGTTCAAAACTTACTCATTTAGGAGGCATAGTAAAAAAAAAAAAAATGCAGTTATTTAGAACATCTAGATAAAAGTTAGCCTCTATGAAATAGCTCCTATTAGAGTCAGGATACTAGTTAGAGCAAGCAAGGGCTATCTTAACTGTGGAATGAAAGGTTGGCTAGAGTAGATACTCACATTTTCATGCTTCATGTGGTTCAGAAGCCGCAGTTCCCGATAGGCTCGTTTGGCAAAAAGTTCTGATTGAAATGGGCGGTACAACTTCTTGATGGCCACTTTGCTTTCACTTTTCTGGTCAATGGCTGAACTTAATGAAGAAGGAACAGAGCTGAATTAGACGTAGACAGAGAAGGCACATGGACCTGTTAAGTCCAAATGTCTACAGCAGTGATTCTCAACCTTTTTGAAGCTGCTGCCCCCCTAAGGAGCGGAAAATTTTTCAAC